AATGCTGCAAAAGGTCGTAACTGGGGGGGTGAAAACGATCGTTAAGTCACGTTCTTCAGTGCTGTTGTAACTCTGAGCGGTCACTAAACGAACCGCTGTAAGTTGAGGAGCACCTGCCGTCGCCAGATAAACCCATTTGGAGGCTGAATTCACCTCCTTTTCTGTTTCCTGTCTTCCCTCCCTCTCTTTTTATTTTTCTCTCTCTTTTTTTTTCCCCTCCTCCCCTCGACTTGCATGTACCGAAAGAGACTGCTCTGGGTTTACTTTGTGTGTGTGTGTGCGTGTGTGTGTTTTTGTCACTGTTAACCACATCCTGACTCTATTAAAGTTCCTGGCGCTAAATAAACAATGTAACTGTCGCGTGCAGCAGTCTGACAATAATTGGATTAACTAAAACGTATCATCGGCTAANAGGGAGAGGAGAGGGAGAGATAGGGAGAGGGAGGGAGAGAGAGAGGGAGAGGGAGAGAGAGAGGGAGAGGGAGAGGGAGGGAGAGGAAGAGGAAGAGGAGAGGGAGAGAGAGGGAGAGAGAGGGAGAGGAGAGGGAGAGAGGGAGAGGAGGGAGAAGGAGAGGGAGAGGGAGAGAGAACTCCGCAAGGGAATTTCCATATAAACTATGGTTTATGGACAATCTAATTGCTATGGTTCCTACAAAACCCCCGAACCATAAACTAACCATGTAATCACAACAAACAAGGCTAAAAATCTAGTTCGCTAGTTTCAACTGGTTGCAAATGGAGAGAGAGAAAGGTGCCCCTTTCTTGCCAGGATTGCTCATTCTCCAAAACAAACAAACCATCTTGGCCAGCCTCTTGTGGCCTGGCTGTCATCAGCCTCCGGTAGACATTTTCACAGCAGAGATGCAAGCCAGATACACCAACCTGCCTATGAGGGAACAGCTTCGGAAGCAGCGTAACGATCAGACAACTCTACGGGCCACTGTGCAAAAGTTGGTGTTTCCGTTGTTAAATAGTCGTAACCATGAATTTATTTGGATAAATGGCCTAGATATTAATCAGACAGGTAATCCTCAACTTATAACACTTCATTTAGGGACGGTTCGAGGTTACGACGGCACTGAAATAAATAAATAAAAAATAAATAAATAAATGCATTTGATTTCTAGGCGAGGCAAAACACACATCTATTCCTTGTCTACTTTAAAAGAGCGTGACAATACTACGTGGATGTGGCATTTGCATATTAACTTCTAACACGGCCCATCGACTCTGAATTTGTTTCCTTCCCTCTCCGGTTCATTTCAGTTTTTTGAATGCGTGGGATGAGAGAGGCCTCAAGGTTGTGATTAAACTTAAATCTGATTTAACCTTAATTGGGAAGTTTGACTGTAGTGATTAAGGTGCTGGCCTACAAACCAGGAGACGGTGAGTTCTAGTCCCGCCTTAGGCATGAAAACCCACGGGGTGACTTTGGATCAATCATCAGGTGAGTTCTAGTTCTGCCTTAGGCATGAAAACCGGATGGGTGACTTTGGGCCAATCACTAGGAGACGGTGAGTTCTAGTCCCGCCTTAGGCATGAAAACCCACTGGGTGACTTTGGATCAATCACCAGGAGACAGTGAGTTCTAGTCCTGCCT